AAACCCTTGCCGCAGTTCATCTAGGACTAATAAAGTCGTCAATTCAAATTCATATTGATTTACAGAATGAGTGCTATCTAAACATACACAGTCCATTCCAAATTTTTCATACATTAATTTTTGGCTTTCATTCATAATAACAATAATAAAATCATCAATAGACAATTCTGGAAAATCTTCTTTTATTAAACCCTGGGGTTTATAAAATAATACGGCGTCCGATTCGTTTGCCCACGTATCAACGCTTGTTGCATCATTTTGATGACGAATTCCCCTGTATGCCGATAATTTAAAGCATGTTTCAATATTTCTAAGATCTTTTCTGCTAAGTAGATGAAGCCTCTCCAAGTTTTTTTCATTACATACTGAATTTCTTACTTCATCTAAAATCTCTTCAAAAGGTATTCTAAGTTCAATTTTTTTAGCCAATGCCTTTCTCTCGACTGTGGTTAAATTCAAATGACACAAATCTGGATCATGACCCACATGAGAAATAACATATTTTAACAAAACTTTACCATTTGGCAAAATTTCAATTGCCATTCTAGAAGGACAAAGCTGATCAATCTTTTTTGAACCTTGAATTTTGAGGTTTCGAACGCCTTTACCTCGCTTTTTATAGAAACCGCTACGGTGACAATAATAAATTAGACTTTGAATACCATTGGCCAAAGTTCTAATTGCCCTTTTTTGTATAAACTTTTGGTGGGCATTTTTTTCTTCATCTTCTTTCCACGCCAAAAAATTTTCTAAGCTTTCAAAAGTATAATTTTCAGTTTTTATAACAATTTCATGTTCCAAATAGTGTGTTACCAGACCATTGAAAGAATTACAAGAAAATTGACAAGTGCAACACAAAAAATTATTATTAATAACATTTGTTAAAGATGTACCATGTTTTTCCTCCTGGTGTTTTTTTAAAATGGATTTTGTTAAAAATAAACGTTTGCAGAAACAGCACGTAACTTGTTGCTGTTGATTTGATTTTAATGTCTGATGTGGATGTTTTTGTTTTAAATGTTTAAGAAAGGTATTTTTGTGTTTATATGAACTATCACAATATTCACAATGATAACGTTGAGTATTTTTTTGGCAAGGAGAATTATTTTGATGTTTATTTTTAAAATGCCTAATAAGGGTTTTTTTATAACAAAATTTAGCATTGCATTTGTCACAAAAAAAATATTTATTATCATCTGAGTCTGTTTTGTTACTAAAAGCGCAACTATTTAAATCCATCACCAAAATATATTTACAAATATCTATGTACTAAAGATAGCGCCGACAGTCTACAAAAAAAGAAAGACACATTTAGAAGTGCAGAATATTCAAAAAATACACTGTCTTTTAAAGCGTTGTGTATTTTATCCTATGAAAATGAGAAATTCTCATTGAGAATTAAAAATAATTAAACTAAGCTTTTTTGAATATTTTAAAAGTAGATGCTTGTTAGGATGTTAAAAAATTTTCATGTATACCGTACAGTATACGTATACCGAGTTTATGATGTTCGGCAATACAGTTAAAATAAAAATGCTAAATTTGACAAGAATTAGCTGGCCGTGGCGCTCGCACAATGGGCGACACGGCCCTGACTATACTGTATAGCATATACATTAAGAACCAGTGGCCGACTAAGGTGGGGTCGATCCGCCTCGGGCCCCCGGTTCAGAAGGGCCCCCAAATCTTAAGTGGCCTTTCTCAGTCCAACAAAAAACTATATAAAATTTAGAGTTTTAAAATTTTCGGAAAAATTGAACCGACGAAAAAAAACCGTTATTTCCGGAAAAAAAATTGGGAAATTTTCAGCAAAATTGATTTGCATTTTTCTCATTTTTATTCAAAGAGTAATACGAAGTTTTTACAGATATGTAGGTCCTAACCGTACACTGATATCGAGGAAAAAGTGAATATCCGACGCTGAATATAATCATAATATAATTTTCTTAAATCAATTTAATTTAATTCAATGTTTGGTTTTATTTTTTTTAATGCATATATTTTAAAAAAAAAAATCAATTTTTCCCAAAAAAGACATTTTTTAAGGCCTGTTTTTTTTCAAAATATTTCAGGACCCAGCTTTACCATAAAATACAAACTGATTAAAAAAAAATACCCTGGAGATTTCAAGTTTCCAAAGAATAATATACTATGAAAAAAAACAAAATATAAAGTTAAAACTAAAAAAGATTTTTAATATTTTGGTCTCGGGAGCCCCTAGCTGCCATGAGTGGGCCCCTTAATTTTTAAAATTTAAATTATTAACAAGTTCAAATATAAGTATACTTATAAGTTCGCTGGAAAAAGCTTGTAATCAATTTTCATATCCCTGATTACATTAAGAGTGTTGCAAAGGACCTGCTAAGAGGATCTACTAACAAATTTAAAACATTAATATTTACAAAACAATTATTTCATAAGCAGACTAGGGGCCCCATTTTATTTTACCGCCCCGGGCCCCCGACGGGTTTAGTCCGCCACTGTTAAGAACCTAACGCTTTTTTGGGGTACTTTTGACTCTCCCCCAAAGTTAGGTCCCAAAGTCACCAATAAGTGCAAATATTTAAATTATTTTCTATTATATTAACTTACCTATTTAAACACAGTTTTTTAACTTTTTTAAAAGTTAATAAAATTAATTAGTTAGTTTGCATGCACTAATCCTCACTCAAGCTTATTGTGACAGATCATAAATGCCTCGAACTGATTTGGGAATGACACATTAAACTTTAATTATGTAGGCATAGATGTCCTTACAGTATAAATGACATGGTTATTTAGGTATTCTAAAAAATGATTAAATTAAAACTTACTAAATATCGTAGGCAATTTTGCGAAGTATTAAGATTTGTGTTATACAAAAATTAATTTTCCGAAATAAACGTTTAAAATACCTACCTACTAAACGTTCATTCCATAAAATTGTTTTTTAGCATAAAACAAATCTTTATATAGTACCTACGCCACATTGTAAAATTGCCGACGGTATGTATTTTTTAAAATATATTTTATTGTATTTTAAATTATTTATTTTAAAATATAGGTATTTAGTAATTACTAAATACTGTACTTGCTTAGGTACTGTACTGTACTTGCATAAGCACTAACTATAGGTCTTACCAATTTAATGTATTTAAATATTCTATAAAATACATATTAAGTTTTATAACATCATATTTTTAGCACAAAGAACCAAGGATTTTACAAAATCTTTGACAAAGAACAATGTAATTTCTTCACCAAAAAATGTTTTTTTTAGTTTAAACATGGATTGAATAGTCAATCAAAGTTTAAAACTAGGTATAATTGAAATATAATACAATCGTAAAATAATCGCATCGGTAAATTTCGGGTAGCAGCGGTATCTTTCGGGAGAACCAAATCCTCCCGTGAGCTTTACGTAGCCGCTTGTGTCAAGTATGGCCAAAATGATGTGATCGTCTAGTTGTCAAAAAAAATACCTACGTTGTGTTATTCAAATTCGCTTGTAAATAGGAAGGATGCCAGTGAGAGGAAGTTATATTTAGTAATAAAACACACAAAGAATGGTTGTCAGCTTTATATTCGTTGTATTTGAATTAAGTACTTATATAGTTTTTACAATAGGTTTTATGTTCGTTTTGAGATTATTAGTTCAGCTTTATATTCGTTGTATTTGAATTACTTATATAGTTTTTACAATAGGTTTTATGTTCGTTTTGAGATTATTAGTTCAGTTAGTTTAATTTAGGAGGGTTTTTAAGTTTAATATATGTAAATTTATAGGTTAGTGAGTTTATTTCAAGTTTATAGGGTAGAGGTTGTATTTCACAAGTTTATATCAATGTAGATTCTTAAATTTTATTAAAACAAGTATAATATCAGTAATACCTATATAATAATGGTTATCCGTAACAATATAGGTATCAGCCATTTGGTATAATAAGTCGAAACACAGATACAATTCACTTTTATCCAGCAAAGCAAAGCCTTCATTCATAGGATTCATACTTTATAGCTATACAAAAACTAAAAACAGTAATCACGGTATTAATAAGCAAATAGTAAATAACAATATTATGTACCACTGAGTTGATCATAAGCAATCGTTGTATCACATTCAGGAATATGACGACTAGTATCTACTCTAATATTATGTATTTAAATAGTTTATCTTTAATAATGGTAATAATAAGCAAATAGTAAAAACAATATAGTTATACCACTCAATTGATCATAAGCCATCGTTGTATCACATTCAGGAATATGTCAACTAGTATCTATAAAAATATTATATATTTAAATACCTAGTTTATCTTTAATAATGGTAATAACAAATGTTTATAATTGTATCAATTGGTCACATAAGATTAAAATAAATAAAAGGCTTATTTATACAAGTCCTAGGTTCTTACATACAATAGTTTCAACCTATAAATACAAAATAGCTGATATTAGTTAATTAAAATAGGGATGATTGGATAACCGAGTTTAAAAAAAAAACGGTTTCGCGAAAGGATCGAACGGTCGATTTGCAAGGGTTCAAGAAATCGATTGAAACTTTTCTACCTTATTTCTACATCTAAATGCAGTACTTTTTTCAAAAAAAAAAATCTTGTCCATTGACAACTTTATTTTTATTTTTATTTTTTTCTTCACTGTGTTAAAAATGAAGAAATTTCATTTTTTTTGATAACTTTTTTATTTTAAATCGTATCGATTTGAAATTTGGACAAAATGTAGATCTTACTAATGACAATTAATTCATAAAAAAATTTTGTTTAGATTTTAACGTACAGGGGGCGCTGGTAAGAATTTAATTTAAAATTTAACAATTTTTAAAGGGTAAATATTCGAAGAAGCAACTTTGTTTTATACATTTGAGTATTAATTGAAAAATGGCGGGCGGTGAAGCATCGTCCGGCGAATCCGATGTGAAAAACTTTTGTTTTCATTGTAAAAAGTCAGTAGTAGATTTCGTAAAGTGTTACAAATGTGTAAATTTCTTCCATCCAGCTTGCATGGTGCAAGCAGCACAGAAGAAAACGGCAATTTGTCCCCACGAAATGAATGCGAGTCATGAAAACAATGACCTAACCTCAAACTCTAAAAGCCCTGAGGTTCTTTTGGCCGAAAATACGTTACTTCGTCAGCTAATCGATGAAATGCAATCAAAACAAGAGGTACTTAATGAAAATTGCTTGCTCTTAAGAGAAAAAGTAACATATCTAGAAAAGAAAGTCGATGAACTTCAAATAAAAAACCAACATATTGAAGAAAAAAACCAAGCTGCAACGGCGGGTTCTGCCCTTAATGAACTTGCTGGATGTTCTTCGGTCAATCATTCCTCCAGCTATGCTTCTAAAGCTGATTCTCAACCAGTGGCTACTGCAGTCAAATTGAGTAGCCAAGGCATATCGAGCAATCAAGTTCAAAGAAAAGATAATCCAAGAAAACATACTGAAAGGGCTAAGCCAGTAATTAACATTAGAGATGTTAAGGCTGCTATACACAAAGCCCAAGCATTGAATAAAATGAATGAAGTACAAAATTTGAATTCTGTACACAATGATGATGGTTGGCAACTTCAAAAGCGCCGTCGTAATAAAAGATTTGTAGTAGGGGGAAACAGTGAGTGCAGTGATGAGTTAAAGACTGTGCCTAAGTTTGTGTCCCTTCATGTCACTAGAATGAACCCAAAAACCAAATGTGAAAATCTCAAAAAAATTCTGGAAAAGGAATTTCCAGAAGTTGTCTGTGTGGAACATGACTCCAAATACCCTGAGCTATATTCATCGTTCAAGGTAACCATTCTTCAAGAAAACTTCAAGAAAGCCTGGAAGAGGGACATTTGGCCTCAAGGATCACTAGTTTCTCGTTTTTTCATGAAAAAAGGGGTACCACCTCAGACACAGGTAGGAGTGGACCCCCCTCAGATAACTTGAATAATATACCTACACAAAAAGTAAAAGTTAATAACAAAAATAATGCTAAGCTAAATATAATGCATTTAAACATTTGTGGCCTTGCGGCAAAATGCAACTCACTGAGTATAACTGCGTGCGAAAATAAAGTAGATATTTTATGTATAGGTGAGCACTGGTGTAAAAAAGAGGAATTGCAACTTTTGCATATTCAAGACTTTAGTTTATGTGCTGAATACTGTAGGTCATTACAAAAGCATGGTGGAGTGTGCATCTTTGCCCGCAAAGGTCTTAATATTAATAAGATTTCTTATGATAGGTGCATAGAAAAAATTTTTGAGGCATGTATAGCAGTAACAAAAAATTTAGTTAAAAATAACAATCTCTACATTATTTGTATCTACCGAACACCGGATAGTCAAATCAAAGAATTTATGAAGGAACTTAGTTCCTTTTTATTTAAACTGTATAATAAAAATGACGACTTTATAATATGTGGAGATATTAATATAAATCTTCTAGAAAATAATCCTGTAAGAAATGATCTATTATATTTACTTTTAGAATATGATATACATCCACATGTCTATCAACCGACAAGAGTTGCTCGTTTTAGTTCAACTTGTATCGATAACATATTTTCAAATATAAGTAGTTGTGAATCAGTCTGTGTAAAGCCTGTATTTTATTCTGATCATATGTATCAACAATGTATTTTTGAGTTTGCGGATTTATATAAAAATGAAACAAAATTTACATATAAAAGAGCCTTTAAGGGTGCAAATATGCAAAGTTTCTATAATGCTATTCTACTTGAGAGTTGGGCAGATATGTATAGTGCAGATGGTTTCCAAGACAAGTTTTCTGCATTTTACACTACATTGCTCTATTATTATAACTGTCATTTCCCAGTCAGAAGGGTGAAAATAAAAAGGAAGCGGAAAAAATGGTTTTCAACTGAAATAAAAGAACTCCATAATCTGCTTTGCGAAATGAGACCAATTGAAAAACGTTTAAATAATGAAGTATACACTAGAAAATATAAAGAGTTGTTAAAGCTCTATAAAAACAGTGTTAGTAAACATAAAAAACAAAAAAATGATGTAAGGTTGCAGAATGCAGAAAGCTTGTCTAAAGAAACCTGGAAAATAATTAATGAAGAAAGAAATAAAGTAGAGTCAATAATGCCTTTAAATATATGTGATTCTATGGGAAATGTCATTACCAACTTATCGGACATATGTAATGTGTTTAATGATTACTTCTTAGATATCTCTCAAAACCCTATTCAGCCACAGTTTGATAAAATTAAACTACACAGCCATGGCCCCCTTAGTTTTTTTATGAGTGCTGTCACTCCAATGGAGGTGCGTAACTTTCCTATGAAAACCTCCCATAAGCAGTCAGCTGGTATAGATGAAATTCATGGTAAAGTAATACGATTAGTCATAGATATTATATGTCAACCTCTATCATATCTTATAAATGAGTCATTTATAAATGGACAGTTTCCGACACCCCTAAAAACATCCAAGTGTATACCAATTTTTAAAAACAAGGGCTCTAGATCAGATCCAATAAACTATAGATCAGTCTGTGTTCAAAGTCAAATTTCAAAAATTTTTGAACAATGTTTTTCTCACCGTCTAGTCAATTTTCTAGAAAAATATAAAGTTCTTAATGATTCTCAGCACGGTTTCCGTCCAAAAAAGTCAACAAATACTGCAATTATGGACTCGATAGAATTCGTCTATGATACCCTAAATAACAAAGAAGCACCATTGGGTTTATTCTATGATCTGAGTAGAGCGTTTGATATGATTAATCATAAACTTTTGTTGGAAAAACTTTATGCTTGTGGTGTCCGTGGCAAGGCTTATGAGTGGGCAGCCTCATATTTACACGAAAGAAAACAAATAGTTGTGATAAATGGTGTGAAGTCATACACAGGGCAGAATAACCTGGGTGTCCCACAGGGGTCTATACTCGGACCTTTATTTTTTATTATCTTCGTCAATGATATTCAAAGCTACTTTGGGGGAATGGGTCGTCTTGTCTTGTATGCAGATGACACCAATATCCTGCTTAGCAACCCCAAAATCGATGGGTTGGTTTCAAAGGGTAATAACATTTCCCAGTTGTTTAATGACTATTGTATAAATAATGGACTAGTTTTAAATGGTAATAAAACGGTATATATGCAGTTTTTCCCAAAAAATGCATCTCTTGATTATAGTCTTCTGATTAAAATTAATGATAAATCAATTAAAAATGTGTCCGAATTTAAATTCCTTGGACTATACATTGACTCCAAGCTTACTTGGGAAAAACACATTGATTCCGTATGTTTAAGAGTAAGCTCTCTGTGTTTTTTAATTAAACATCTACGTAACAGTGTAGATGAACAAACAATGAAACTCTTATATTTTGGACTAGTGCAATCAATTCTACAATATGGTTTAGTGTTTTGGGGCTCATCATCTTACTTTTGTAAGGCATTTGTCATGCAAAAAAAGTTTTTAAGATGTATGGAGAATGTACCTCCTGATACCTCTTGTAAGGAAATTTTTAAAAAATACAACTTTCTTACTCTACCTTGTCTATATATATTACAGTTAGTAGACTTTGTTATTGAGAGAGAGTCTTTATTTATGAAAAATAGTCATTATCATTTATACTACACTAGAAAAGCTACTGAAATTCGTTTGCCTTACTCTAGATTATCGGTAGGTCAGCATTCTCCTGCATTCATGGGAAGTAAGTGCATTAATAAAATAAGGACAATAATTAAAAATGTAAATAACCCTAGGGAGTTAAAAATGAAAACCAAAAATTTTTTATGTGATCATAGTTTTTATTCACTAGCTGAATTTTTTGATTATAAAGTTACAATGTAGGTTGTTCTTTACTTAGTTAAGAATATGTGTGTATATATATTTTTTTACCTGACTAGCCTTTAAGTTTGTATAATGATTTACTTTACTGTACTGTTGACTTTTATGGTGAATAAACTGAATTTGAAATTTGAATAACACGTTGAAGTATTTATATTTGACTATTATTTAATTTATTAACTTTTTTATGCAAATGATGTTTCTGTGGCCAGGATCAATTTTGAATTAGCAGTAGCAGTATTCATAAATGTTTAGTTTAGTACATATTGTCATTTTTATACAAATATTGTTGTATCTTTTATTATTAATTAAGTAAAGCATAACACATAAATGACGTTTAATATACAGGGTGTTTCACGTACGTAGTCCGTTAGAAGTTTCTAGGGAATCGCGAAAGTCATCGATTTAAAATAATTTTAATAGCGTAAATTATTTGATTAAGATTTTTTCTTAAATTATTTTGAACAAAATAATACTTCTTGTTTTACCGGAATTGTCTTTAATTTTTTTATTTTAAATAGGACACCTCATATATTTTTACATTTTTTAATTCTACATAAAATTCTTAATAAAATGGCTATATTATATCCTATACCTAAAGTCAATATTTTTCGAGTTATTAATTTTTCAATCAAATATTTTAATTAATTTTAAACAGATTAAGTGGTAACCATGGATACTGTCACATTAAGCAACATGTAGAATAGAAAATAATATTGAAAATATTAGAAATTCTTAAATGTCTCTGAAATTTTAACTTTATAAAGTTATAGGAAGCAGTTATTATAATACCAATCGAAAAATTCTTAAATTTTCTATTTGATTATGTTAAAACATACAGGTTTTTACATTTATAATTAAAACGTAATTATTGTTTGAAGTTTGCCTAATTTTAAGTGGTTTTTCTCAATCTAAACTGCGCACCACTCAATGTGTCGCGACCAAAAATTTCGTCCATTTTCAAAACGACATAACTTTTTTATTTCTTGAACTATTTTATTTTGGTTTGTGATGTCTGCTAGCCCCATTCTCTGGCAATTCATGCTATAGATATGAAGCTCACGCTTCTTCAAGTAAATTTACTACAGGGTGATATGTAAAACAGTGAAAAATTTCAATAACTTCATCCAAGCCCCGTTTGTAAAATAAATATTTTTTTCTCGTTTTTACTTTGAAATAATGAAGTATTATGTCTTACCTTGAAACATTTTTAAAAATTTTCGAATTGGAATCTTAGCAACAAAAATATGATTTTTTTTTTCAATGGAGTACATTTGATGCTTTTTTGTAGGCAATACACTCAGCCTTTTTAAGAACAAAAATATAAGATGGTGAAAGATTGTTCCTTGAATAATTCTGAACAAGCGACAAGCAACAAACTTCCATTATTTTCAGAGGAACCTAAGCAAAGACCACTTTTTCAAAATTACATTTTGGTGAAAATTTTCGAAAATTAAACCTGAACCGATATTTACGTTCGTGACATGTTTTCTTCATAATTTTGACCTGATTGTGATTCAGTTGTCAAATTTAGGTTTCATATAAAACCAAAATCACCAAGAATCAAAATTCGAAAACAATTCCTGGATATTAAATGTCCCATTAAAATCTGATTGCTGGTTTTTACTGTTTTTTTACTGTGTTTTGCATTTTTAGTACGTTATTATCATGTCACTGAATGATCAAATCAAGGATCAAATGATGAAACTTAAATGCCAATAATTTGGTGTTGGTGGACGACAATGCCCGTCCGCATCGCGCTTGTATCGTAAATGAGTATTTAAGGGACCATGATATTGAGAGAATGAATTGGCCACCTTTGTCTCCGGATATGAATCCTATTGAGCATGTGTGGAGCAGGATGAAACTGAAGATAAAAGAAAGGAAAGGACGCATGGAAAATTTGTATGAATTGGTAAATTCGATTCAGGAAGAATGGGAAGCCATACCCCAGAAATTTCTAAGGAACTTGGTCTAGGAAATGCTCAGGAGGGTTAACGAATTATTACGGGTTAGGGGAGGGCCAACGAAATATTGAAAGTTATTATTGTTATTGTTTGTTACATTTTTCTGTTGAATGTTGTAGTTTTTATTATGATTATATCTTCGCATAAAATTTTCAAAAATAAACAAACAAATTTTGTATTTAACTTTATTACCAATTAGGTAGTTACTTATCAGTAATAAGTTATCACTAGTGAGCAATATAAATGTCATTTATGTAACATTATCCTAACCACTCAAACAAAAATGAATCCCCAAATGGTATTGGCAAAGGCATGTTATTGAGACATTTAACAGCCGGGAATTGTTTTCGAATTTTGATTCTTGGTGATTTTGGTTTCATCTAAAACTTAAATTTGACAACCGAATCACATCAGGAGGTCAAAATTATAAAGCAAACATGTCACAAACGTAAATATCGGTTCAGGTTTAGTTTTCGCAAATTTTCTCCAAAATGTCATTTTGAAAAAGTGGTCTTTGCTTAGGTTCCTCTGAAATTAATGGAAGTTTGTTGCTTGTCGCTTGTTCAGAATTATTTAAGGAACAACCTTTCACCATCTTATCTTTTTTATCTTAAAAAGGCTCAGTGTATTCCCTACAAAAAAGCATCAAATGTGCTCTTTTGAAAAAAAAAATCATATTTTTGTTGCTAAGATTCCAATTCGAAAAATTTGAAAAATGTTTCAAGGTAAGACATAATACTTTATTATTTCAAAGTAAAAACGAGAAAAAAATATTTATTTTACAAACGGGGCTTGGATGAAGTTATTGAAATTTTTCACTGTTTTACATATCACCCTGTAGTAAATTTACTTGAAAAACCGTGAGCTTCATATCTATAGCATGAATTGCCAGAGAATGGGGCTAGCAGACATCACAAACCAAAATAAAATCGTTCAAGAAACAAAAAAGTTATGTCGTTTTGAAAAAGGACGAAATTTTTGGTCGCGGCACATTGACTGGTGCGCAGTTTATTTGTTAAAAACCTTTAAAAAATTAAATTATTTAAAAAATTGAAAATTCAAATTTCAAAAATTCCAACCAAATGTCAGCAAACCTGATAACAAAAAATTAGAGGCTATTTTTGATTAACTTGTATTTAGCAAAATGTTAACGAAAAAAAATAATATCTTGAAAACTATTGACTTTAGGTATAGTCTAAATCAAATTGTATACCCTATTAAAATTTTAAATCCATATAGTTTGCGAAACACCCTGTATAAAGTCTTTATTCTAATTTATTTATTGGGTAAATATTACTTTCCTCAGTTTGGAATTAAAATTAAAGCTTGCTTATCGAGTAAAAAATAAATTAAAGCTTGGTTGTGTAGCAAAAAATAAAATTAAAGTAGGTTATAATTTCTAACTGGCTAACACTGTCTATAAATATTATTTAGTTTATTCATTTTATAAACTGAACTGTCATATTATCTTTCATGCTTCCAATGGTAGGTTACCATAGAGAAAAAAAGTCTATGATGCCTACTATAATCAAAATTAGTAAACTTGAAAAAAATTTAAATTAATAAATAAAAGTAATTTTATCTCCATCTATGGCGATTTTTTAAATAAATATGTAAGAATTGTATGTTATATATAATATATTATATGTAATATATAATGTATAATATGTAATATATAATACATTATATTATAAAACTAGATAAAACAAAATATACTTTGTGTAACACGTTAGTATTATGCTCTTTGAAGGCCTAACTTAAAAATGATGTCTCTCGTAGAAACATAATTTGCATATAGAAGTTTATATATCAAATAATAGTTAATTATCAGTACTTTACCGTGATATACTCAAAATTATAAAACAACGTTGCTTCTTCGATTTTTTAACCCTTAAAAAATGGTAAAATTTTAAATTAAATTGTCCCCAGCGCCCCCTGTATGTTAAAATCTAAAAAAAATAATACGTGGATTTATTGTCATTAATTAGGTCTACATTTTATCTTAATTTCAAATCGATACGTTTTTAAATAAAAATGTTATTACAAAATATTGAAATTTATCTATTTTTAACACAGTAGAGTAACTTAAGGCCTGTTAACCACAGCGGTCAATGGGTGAAATTTTTTTATTGAAAAAAATGCACCATTTAGATGTAACACGTACGTAACAAGGTAAAAAAAATATATTCAATTCTGACATCACTTGCAAACAAATGTCCAAAATTTGTTCGATTTTTACGCGAAACCATAGTTTTTAAAAACCTCAATGATAATATGAAATTATTATAAACAGCTAAAAAGGGAATAAAGCTTGACAACGATCTTGGTTAGTTAATTGAAATGATTGAAATAAAATTTATACCTTACCTTTTTATGTTTATATTCAAAATATCTTTTTATCTTTTAAATTTTTTTACTCTCAAACCCTGATAGTTTTTTTCGCCTACCTCAAATCAACAACCCAAAAAACCTCTCCTTAGAAACGAGGCTATGATGCCCGGTCTCTCCACAAAAACCACGTTATCAATACAATTTTATAATCATAACCAAACTAATAAACTTTCAACATAAAGTAATTTGACTATATAAATTAACTCAAATTTAAGTGTTTGACAACAGCTGACAGCTATATTTTTATAACCCTATTATTTTACTGTCAAATTTGACTTTTATCAAGTAAGTTTAGTTAGTTGTCGCTTTTTCTTACGAGTATCAAAGGTCGGGCCACCACAACGGTAATATTTTTTGGGGGAAATGTAAAAATTGTAATCTGTTATTTGTTGCACAAAAAGAGAGTCATGCGGGTAATATTTGGTTTAAAATATATGGAATCCTGTAGAACAGTTTTTAAAAACAATAGAATTTTGACTGTGTATGGTGTGTATATTTATGAATCTGTATTGTTTTTATATAAAAATCCAAATATTTTTAAAATTGGAAAACAAAATCGACAAGAGTTACCAACTACAATATTCCTCCACATAGACTAAGTCTATATGAGAAAGGACCCTTATATTCTTGTATATCTTTTTATAAAAAACTTCCAGAAGATATAAAAAGCATAAAAACAATACAAGTTTTTAAAACCACCGTTTATGATTATATTTGTGAAATGGAACCATATGCTTTAAGTGATTTTACTATGTAAATTTTTCGGCCATGATATCCAACTTTTGTTTGCATTCTTTGACTAGTTTATATTTACTGTTTGTCTGTTTACTGTAACTTTTAAACATTATTTTTAAAATAAACTTTATTAATATTATTGTTAATAACCTACCAACCGCTACGTCGCAACGTTAATATTATTTGAGATCAAAGTGGGACATGATACAACAAACAACGTGAGCAAAGAAATTGTCTTTGAACGTGAGTGATTTTGATTACTCCTACCCCAGCTATTAACCCATCGGACTTACAAAAGAAGAAAAAGACAAGAGCATCCTACACAACCATGAAACAGATACGCAGATAGGATCCAAGAAAATATACAAAAGTTTGGTCATCATATGGGTATAATTATAACATTCTTCTTGCAATTGGGCTGTAACTAAGCAATTTACCTTTTTGAACTATCCGATGAAATTGCTAGTAATAGTATATTTTTTAAAAAGTGATATATATCACATATGTGGAATTTGTTAACCCTTTAAATAAATATTACTAGAAATTTCATTAAATTGTCCCAATTGTAGGAAAAATTGCCTTTTCTGCACCTAAATCATTTTGAAAGTGTGCATATTTGAATATTGCTGAAACTAAATAATAACGTAAATTAACGTATTTTACACATACAAAGACGTCTTAAGATGACGTCTTTGGTCTTTTTTACGTTTTATTTACGTAATAAACGACGTGTTAAATAGGTCAGCCTGCTACCTGGGATTTACAAAATGAGGCGAATCAGGGACGTCATTTTTATGGCCGTTATATATCATAAGCTTGAGATTTGGCATTACGGTCACTATATTATATAGCAACAATAAACGAAAACGAAATTACACTTATACTTTATAATTACCCTATAAAAATAAAAGAGAAATTTGAAAATTATTTCTGTGGCAACAATAAAAAGGTAAACAAATAAACCTAACCTCTCAAAAACACGTGCGCCGTATGTTATTTGCACAAAATATCGTTTACACGCTCATGCAACTGTACCAACCTCATGCAAATTATCTGGCAAAACAGATTTTATTTATTTTATTCAAGCCAAACTTTTTGGCTTGCGCAAACTTCATGCTTCCATTCACATACAACGATTTACTTGTGCAAATTGGCTTGCACAAATCAATTGGCGCAAATTGCATGAGCGTGTAAACCAACCATTAATGTACCGGAGATTCATAATCAAAATAAGACGAATCAAGGACGTCACTACTAGCACTGTTCATGTACCGCATATTACCTAAATAGGGGGAATCAAAGACGTCATTTAGTACTATAGAATAATCTTAAGAGCTACCTCAAATGTGCCTATCAGAAATTAAACTGTATAGGACATTTGTACTAACTTTAAGTATAACATTAAAACCTTAATTAAAAAATGGCATTATATTAATTAGTGATTTCACCCACAACAAAAAGGTTCTTTTCGATTAAATACAGTGTAAAAAGGTAAGTGGGAATTTAAACTATTATATAGAGCATCGTGTTGGTATAATATAATATAATTTGTTTAGGAAAATATTTTAAAATATTTGTAAATCCCTCACTAACTGATTTTATGGTATATCATATAGAAGAGCTTCGCGCCGAACACGTAGTGATGATTGGTGGCAATTGGAAGCGGCAGCGATCGATATGAGTCGATGTGGGTCAAAGTCGAAACTACCGCGTCATCCGCCATTGTTTGTCGCTCGTTCGTTTGCCTTTAGCACAGATTATAAAGGTTGGATTCATTTGAAAGAAATCTTAAATACCTATTTGTTAACGACAATGCCGACAACTATTTTGCATTGTTCTTCAAAAGTAAGTAATTATAATCTTATTTAATGCTATTGCAATAAGATCTAAAAACGTAGGTATTTTTCTTTCTGTCAGTTAGTTTTGTGGCATCAATGAGTAGTGTCAAGAACTTTTACTGTTAATATTGTGCACATTAATTATTGTTTTAAATTAAAAATAAGTGGATTATTGCTCTGCGCATAAATTATAGCTAATAAAATATTGTGTGCGACAATTGGTCAAAATAGGATATTCCACTCGCGTGTTACCGCACTCGCACGATCGAGGAATCTCCTCTTTCTCCCACTAGTCGCACAATAACTATTAAAAGTATACATATATAAAAAAATGTTTTCATGTTTAGTTTCCAAAAATATTTTTGTTTAATATTTTTATTAAGTTCTTAAGCGCCAGTCAAAGCAAAAAATAAAGAGTGACTTTTTGTTTGGCTTGGATTTTTGTTATTAATATATTATACTATAGTAATTATTACCTATATTAATAAATAGGTATAACAAAAATATATATTTTTCATGGTTATCCTCCAAAATGTATTGTATTTTTCGAGGTATTTTAATATAATATATAATTACGTATATTAATAAGTGTATAAGAAAAAATAATATTTTTAAAGTTTAGTCTTCAAAATGTATTTTTGTTTTATATTTTTACATAATAAAGAGTTTCTATGAAAATATTTTTTGCCTTTTTTTGATCTAAAAAAGAAGTCAAATATACGTCAATTTTAAACGTCGCAGGTACGTTTTGCTCGACGACTAAGATACGGCACTATAATGACGTAATTATGATGTGACACATGCACGTCTCCCGTTATCAAAATGACTAAAATCCGTCGTCTTTGGGACGTCTTTCTGTTTGCTGAGTATAGGAAAGTTAAGTGCTTATTAGGTAATTGTTTATTTTTAATTTTAGGGTCCCTATAGTTATTGATCCAAATAAAATTTTCTTTTAAAATATGTAAACAAAATTATATAGGATGTCTTATTTAAAAAATATTTTGGTAACTCAACGTACAACTGCTTTTCTGTTTTCACCATTTTAATCAGTGAAAAAATGTTAATTAAATTAACGTTTTTAACGTTGTTCTGTGTTTGTTGGCATAACTATATACTATGGTTTTAACTTTTAACTTAAAACTAGGGATGCCGCCATACGGGTTTTTGTCGATACGATACCGATATTTATACAAAGTTATCGCCGATATCGATACCGACACCGATAAAGGGCTAGTCAAAACAAACACGTTTGAATATTCCGCAGTCCGGAAAAGTGCGGGCTCGTGCGATATTTAATTTATTAAAATATTTGATTTCTAACGCGCAATTAAAATGAAGTTTTAAATAATGGCCGGTTTTATTGTTTAACATTGACAATGATTTGGCAAAGTTTTGTTAAAATCGGAGAAAACATCATTTTTAGGTGGGAACACTTGAGGTGTTTTGCCCCATATGAAAAATACCAAATATAATAATATATTTAATAATTATTGTATTTTTTTCAATAATAAAAAATCTATTTAAATAGTAATTAATATTTTTTAAAGCATCTAGGAATATTATTAATTACATATTGTAATAAATATTTTTGGTAAAACTATTGTATTTTCTTTTAATACTTAATAAAAAATGGATTTAAATAGTATCAAATATTTTTTAAAAGCCTCAAGCATCCATTATTTACACTATCTTCAATATCAAATTTAAAAAAAACGCACTATGTCCAGATATTTCTCTATATTCTTTGATAATATTGCTATTATTTGTGTATTCGCGCGGCTTCTACCTATCGAGTGACGTAATGCGCGGAACGAACGAAAACTCGTCCACGAGAGCATCCAGCCCTGTATTAATATAAAGAATCTATATAGACTTCCCAATAAACACAATGACATAAATATGACGTAAATAAGACGTCATGTCAGTTCACACTTACTTACGTCAGACTCTGACGTAATAAATATGGTAAACATCTTGACGTAACACTGACATCATGCCATTACATAAGATTTACGTCACACCAGAGTCATATAAGAGTTATTATTTTCCACTTGCTTACGTTAGATTCTTACGTAATAAATGTAACATAAATATGTAGTAAACATCTTGACATCACACTGACGTAATAAATATCAGAATTACCCCTTCCTTATTTTTCATCAAGGGGCAAAATAAGTGAATAGTGAAACAGCTCGCTGAGCTGAGCTAAGTTTCCTCTTCTAAATGAGTAAATTGTGGGTTGATCCGCTGAACTTCAGCGGCTTTGGCCTTGCAAAGCAGGCACTGCTTAGCAGAGGGCCACGGAAATTCCGTGATGGTCCTGACGGAACAATCCTGGTTCCACAGAACATAAGAATTAAAAGCGCCGTAGTCAAAAGTGGCAACAAGCATTGGTTGATTTTTAAATCTAATGGGCTTGTAAAATCGAGGTGCTTGTAAGCAATTGGTGGAATAAACCACCTGATTTTCTTCGTTCTGATTGGTTGTTCACCGCGTCTGCGGTGAAATTTAATTTTTTTTTTAAATATGGAAATATAACCGAAAATTGTCGAAATTTTATATATTATTTTGTTTTTTAAAGAACAATATATTTAATATAATGTGCTGAAATAAATAAAACCACCAAAAAAGAAATTCGTCAAGCGAAGTTTAGATTTTATAAAAATAAATTCGCAAATATAGGAGGCAACCAAAAAAAAATGCTGGAAGGTTATAAATTCGTTAATCAACAACAAACAAAAAAACAATACAGATATATATTCAATAAAGGATGGTGACAACATTGTTAATGATGAGAGAAGTGTCTGTGACACAATGAACAATCATTTTACTAGCATTGCTAGAAAACTAGCAGACAAAATTCCAGATATGCCCTTGGACATGGAAATAGAAGCCGGAAGTGATGACCTGTTCAGTTTTGTACCAGTAACTGAGGAAGAAGTCTTGAAATTGGTTGAGGGACTAGACTTGGCGAAATCTCCAGGATACGATAATATAGACGTAAATTCGATTAAACAGTGCAAAAACGAGATCTTACCAGTGTTAACCAGAATTATAAACCAGTCATTAAAAAGTGGATCTGTGCCAAGTGCTATGAAAATTGCTAAGGTAATACCAGTTTATAAAAGTGGTGAGAAATCAAATGTGAACAATTATAGACCAATACCTGTTTTGCCTCTATTCTCCAAAATCATAGAAAGTATAGTAAACAGACAACTTATAAGATATTTAAACTCCATAAACTTCCTTTCAAAGCTTCAATATGGTTTTCGAAGATGCAGCGATACCAGCTCTGCTGCAGTGGACTTAGTAACAGATATTCAAATGAACATAGACAAATCATATAAGTGCGCACTGGTGTCGCTGGATCTTTGTAAAGCCTTTGATACAGTGAGTCATTCTATACTCTTAAAAAAATTAAAACTGTTAGGTATAAGAGTGAAATGGTTTGAGGAATATTTAAGGAATAGAACTCAGGCAGTTGTAATAAACAAAATAAGCAGTGACAAAATTGAAATAAAATTTGGAGTACCGCAAGGGTCTATATTAGGACCAACACTTTTTATAGTATTTATAAATTCAATAACAAATTTAAAGCTTAAGGGAAACATTAGATTATATGCCGACGACACAACCTTAGTATACTTCTCAGATACTTATGACTCAATTAGGAGAAATATTGTTTGTGACTTAAAGATGATTTTGAGTTGGCTTAAATCTCATAAGCTAACTTTGAATATTGACAAGTTCTCGTACATGTATATCTATAGGCGTAACTTATTTGATAGGCAACCATTGGATGTGGCAGGTGAGAGTCTAAAATATTCTAGAAATATTAAATTCCTTGGGCTAATAATTGACGAATTACTGTCATGGCGAGACCATATAAATAAGTTAGGAAGCAAAATTGCTGGACCCATAGGTATTCTATATAAATTAAATAATAATGTCCCAAAACAATATCTAAGATCAATATATTATTCATTCATACACTCTCACCTGTAATATCTAACGATGGTATGGATGGTATACGGCTAGTGCTGTCACCATAAGGCCCCTAAAAACTCTTCAAAACAAGTCAATAAAGAACCTGTATTCTTTACCCTCGAGATATCATTCAGAAGATCTTCATACTAACTTTAGAATAATGTCCATTGATAATATTTATAAATATCAGGTGTGTAGCTTTGTTCATGGTTCTATACTTGAGAAGAAACCCACGAATATTAATTTTAAAGCCAGAAATGAAATACATCTACACAACACAAGAAATAATAATAATTTAGCAGTTCCACACGTCTTTTCAAAGTATGGTAAAGCATGTTTATTATATAGAGGTGTTAATATATATAACAGCTTACCAGAAGATATAAAAACAAAATCGACAAGACATATAAAAGAATATTTCAATCCTTGATAAGAGGCTAACCTGCGTGTCTTCTTCTTGAGTATTGAATTTGAAAAACAAGTTCAGTAAATATGTAAATTGTAAATTAATGTTTAAAGTATGTTTGTATATTGTATATTTGTAAGACTATAATTATCTTATAAGATAATGTTGCTTTATCAAGAAATTGTTTTTTAATAGGAACCAATTAATATTTAACTATTGTTAATTAATAAAAATAATCATTATTTAAGAATTTATTTAACATTTCAATAGTGATCACTTAATTAAACCTTTGTATTTGTATTAAATCTTAAAATACAACAATTGTTAATGTGTTACAAAATTAAAATTTCTATAAATTATCAATTGAAGATTCAATGTCATGTCATTTAATAAATTATACTTGGCAAAA